CATTACTGACCCTGCTATTATGTCTAAAACTCCTTTTCTACCTCTCCTTTCTGCGAGTGTGAGAAGTTGGGTCAGAGCCGCCCGTTTTCATGTTCGGAATCACCTGCCCTACCCGAAAACTCCTTCCCTCCACAGATCGCAGAGCAGCCGCATAAGATTGAAAGTTCCCGAAACCAACGTTGAACGAGATGGGGTAGCATAGTGAGGACAAATAATAGTGACGTTACAAGAGGAATCCGAGTGTATTGTGTTTGGTGCAGGATTTGAGGAGTCTGATTTTTGTGTTTTGGGGTTCACTTTTCGGCGGCTTAATCGGTTTACTTGCAAGTTCGTTCACAGCCACCACCAGCTTCCTCCATCCTTTCCATTGGATGTCGGGCGGAAAGAGAATCCGCTTCGTGTTTTGAATGCCTTGGACCGTCAATGCAAGAAACTCACCTCTTTTGTTCCTTCCATGTGCAAGCCACAGCTCATAGTTGTTTTCACCAGGTGTTTCGCCCAAGTTCCCAGTTTTCTGCTCCACCAAAACTTGTTAAGCCCTTCCAGGAACAATCTAAACTCGTCTCGTTCAAGGAATACAGATCTTCTGAAACCTCTCCCATTTTCGCAGACTCGCAAACATTTTGTGTTCCTTCCTTCACATATCAAGTCGAATGATTTATTTTCATTGTAGAGATACCGTCTGCCAAGCGAGCTCATAAGAATAGACCCACCTGTTCGGCTGGAATCGGCCAGAAATAGCTATTACAGGCAGAGTATTTTGAGAGAGTTTAGAGAGAGAAAGAGCAATGTGTAAAAATATTTACATTGAGGAGCAGTCACCTTTTATATTTGCTGAAATGGAAACTTAGGCTCTGTTTCTCTGTTCTTGATCAAGAAATTATAGTATGACTTGACTGTAAAGAAACCATCTTTTTTGAGATTCCAAAATAATTGATCATTGTTCTCGTTAAGGTTGACCATGGAGAGTATATTCAATAGAGTCTCATACTCGTTAACCTCCTAATCATTAAGATTCCCCACAACATTCACAATTCACTCTCTATTCCCTTCATTATCTCTATGACTTATAGACTGTGATGCCCTTATACCGTACTATAGAATAAAAATGAGGGAATTGCTCCCTGAGAACTCCCCTTTTAAGCCAGGTATCCTACCAAAAAATTAATTTTGTCCCCCTCGCCTACACTCCACTTGATGCACTCTTGAAAATTTATACCCATCCATACTAATTTTCTTTCACATCTCCATCCCGTGCGATCTTGTCCCCACTCTAGAAAACCAACTTTTATCCATAGTGCCGAACTTTACCTCAATCACTCTCCACCAAAGAGAACCGTTCTTTTTCAAGAATTTTTTTTTTTTTTTTGAAATACTTTCTTTCATGAGTCTCAATAATCATTTTCCTTGTAAAGCTATATTCATCTCAATAAAAAATCTCAACCCCAAGTCACCATGAGACATTAGTTTATGACCTCCTTTCAACTCACCAAATGCTACTTCCTCCTTTCCTCCATATACTACAAAGGAATCTATACTGGATAGATTCTAATTTTTTTGCCACTTTCATTGGTATTGTCAAAAGAAACATGTAATAAATAGGTAAGTTAACTAAACTGCTTCTAATAAATGTCGATCTCCTCCCTCCCACCCCGATAAAAGTTCATCTTCCAACTCGCCAATCTTCTTTCAAACCTCTCTATTACCGGATCCCATATCCTCTAATCTTTGTAGTTTACCCCCAAAGGTAAATCTAGATACTTGATGGGCAAATCCACCTTTTTACATCCAAGCACTCTTGCTCACTTTAGATCATCCCTCCCATCATACAGTCTTACCAATTTAGACTTGATTAAGTTAATATTAAGTTCTGAAACTACTTGGAAACTCAACAAAACGCATCTGAGGTTGAGAATTGCTCTCTCTTCTGGTTCATAGAATACTAAATTATCATCCATAAAAAATAAGTGTGCTACCTCCTCCATATGATAATCCATGTCCACATTCAAACATTTAAATAACTCCAACTCCCTCACTCTCAACAACAACTTATTCAACGCTTCCATCACAATGGTGAAAAGTAGAGGAGATAGTGTTTGAGACCTCTATAAGTCTTAAAAATAGAAGACGGATCCTCATTCACCATTACAAGAAAAGATATTGCAGTAATACACAATTCGATCCACTTTCTCCATTTGTCCCTGAACCTATCCTTAACACGTAATCGACAAAACCCCATTAACATGATCATACCCTTCTCCATATCTAACTTGCATAAAACTTCTTCCCTCTTTCGATATAACAATTCATCCACAACCTCATTCACCACAAACACTACATCAAAATTTGTCTGCCCTCCACAAAAACATATCGACATTCGTGGCAACTTTATCCATCACCTTAGACATCCTTTTGGCTAAAACTTTTGAAGTGAGCTTATACACGCTTCCAACCAAACTAACGAGTCTAAAGTACTTCATGTTTATTGCCCCTTCCACCTTGGCTATAAGAATCAAGAAAGAGGAATTTAAGAATTTAACAAAAGATCCCAAATCGTGCAATTTCTTAAACGTCTCTAAGATATCTTTCTTCATTTCATAATGCTAAGACTTTTGAATAAATCCCATATTGAAGCCATTGGGACCTGGAACTTTGTCTTTACTACAATGCATGAGTCTTTGGACTATTATAAAAATGTAGCTTATAAGAATTATTCGGGTGTATTTAAATTTAGCTATAATTAATTTATAAATGATAAAAATATTAATTAAGTACTATTAATTTGTAAATTCTAATTTATTAGAGTTAAATTAACTTATAAGAATTTAACAAAATTAAAATCAATATTATTCCAATTCTACTTATTCTAATAATAGTTCAAAGTGTTCTAAACTCTAGACTGTTATAAAAATTAAAGCTAAAACCAAGAACAAATAATAATTTGATGTCAAATAAGAAGATTGACAGGAAGGATAATGGGGGGGGAGGAATATTGTAGTTAAATATTACGTCTTTCATTAAGAACAAATTTATTCCACAATTTTGAAATTACAAAGTTGTTCCAACTTTTAACAAACTTTGTACTGTTCAGTTATCATTTTCGTTTCAACAGAAAGAGGACTGAACTCAATTATTCTGTCTAGTCCTACTATTTCCATATTACCAAACACAATCTTCATGCTTCTTTACATAATAGGTGTAAAATAATCTCTATTTTTCTAAAAGAAAAAGGAAGTATTTGCTCTTCCATTGGCTTATTGGGAGCCTCTTCATTAGCTAACTTCCCAGCGCCCTTATTTTGTGCTTGAGGACAAGCGTAAGAAAGAGAATTATATTATGTGCCAGGAAACAAATCGGTGGCTTGGTATAAGAGGGAGGACACATGGATGATTCAAGAAGAAGGATTGAAGTTAAATTTTCTGTTTTTTTATTGCTTTCTGATGGTTATCCTAAAATTTGGTCAGTTTTTGTTAGGTTTATTAATATAGTAAATCTTATTTAATATATGCAGTAAGTTAGTTTCTCTCGAATAAAAGTTACCTTGTAGAAACTGCTTCAATCACTCCCTTTATAGATAGCAAACAGAATTTGAATAAAAACTAGAAGAGCATTTTGGACGAATTTTATTTTAGTTGTTTTTTGTTATGATTGAAGGGTTCTCCTCTCTAAGGACCACTCCTAAATGATTAAAGATAAGCCATAAAGGAAGGAATCCAGCAAGAACCACATTTTTCATTAAAATTTCTCATATAAAGACCCAAAACGAGATCCAAATGCATGGATCAAGCAGACACCCGAACTACCAAGAAGACACATCAATGGATCCCAAAATTTTTTTAAAAAAATCCAACTACCAAAAGTAACCGTCTGTTAGCTCACTACTTGACCAGTTCTAGCACTACTTATCAGCAATTACTACCTGGGTAATTGACAAGCATCCTGTAATTCGGCATTATCCCACTACCAGGCACTATTCTCACTAGTAGAGTATCAATTCCTCCACTACTACGTAGGTTAGTTACTAGTAGAACATCTAGATTAGATGCTTCTGCTCATTCGCTACCCTTCATTACCATAAACTCTCCTTCAAATGGCTATAAGTCCAATTCAAAATTTAAGAAAACATGATCTATTATTTCAATCTATTGCTAACATTTTATAATTTTTTGATCTAGAAAGGCGCATCCTTTGCTGGCTGTTGGGTTTTGTGGCTGGAATGAAATCCTAGATTTTAATCAACAGAGTAATCACGTGGGAAAGGTTAACATTTTTGGCCACCTTATGAGCCAAAGCTTATGGCAATGATTCCAATATAGTTATCTCAGAACTTCATCAGAATTAGGAGGCAATTATTTTGTTCCCAGACTGAATTTTTTCCATGCTATCTTTATTTATTACAATTGTGTTTGATTCTCCATATTTGACATTTTAAGACGATATTTTCCTCTCTGTAATTGTACTCATTTCATTCTATTTCTAATAATACTTCGTTATCTATCCAAAAAAAAAAAATCAACATACTAATCCTACATACTGTTTGGGATAGAATGATTAGTACGGCCGCTTTTTACACTAAGGCTCATTGTTTCTTTTGGATTTTTTCTTTGTCAAATATGAAAAGGAATTGGGAGTTGTCTTATCTCAATTCTCTTTTTCTTCTCTTTCTTGTTTTTGTATTGTTTTCTTCCTTTTCCTGTGTTGAGGGTACCCTATCCTTCTTTATTTGTATTCCCTTTCAATTTTAATAATGTTATCTTTCTTGTCAAATAAATATTAGGTTTAGTTATGTTTATAATAATATTAAAGAAGAAACAAGCTCGAAATGTCTACTAACCCTGAGAAGTTGAGCATTTCCTTTTCTTCAATTATTCAACCTTTCTTAAGATTTTAATGATCAACAAAAGAATGTGCTAAAAGGTAAGGCCTTAGTGGGTAGGCAGATTAAAAAAGAGTAATAAATACACAATTGCCAGAGGAGCAAAAGAAATTGACAATCTTACGCTTTATTCCGCAACTCCCACCAGACTTCCTCATCTGAAAGTGGTGGAGATTTCCCAATCTCAACCTCAAGCTGATATCTTGCTTTCTCAAGTTTTAATTCCGTAACAATTTCAAGCTTTTGATTTCTTCTCACATCAAGCATCTGCGCAGCAAGAGGCACTTTCTTCACATATCTGTTTATATCAATAGTAAATTTATTCACATCAGAGCTTAAGACACACAGTGGTCAATATCATTAGTAGATTTTGTAAATTGCTAAAGATAATTATGCAAAGAGGAAGGTGCTTTTTAACTTTTTAGGTCCTACTAAAGAAGACTCATTAATATAAGTATGCAAAGTGACATGTATCAGAGATTGAGGAAGAAAGCGCCCAGTTATCCACTAGCAGTTAGTAAGAAGAGTAGATTAGGAGGTGTTCATTATTTTTTCCGAAGGAGATGCACAAGAATATCAAGGATGAATCTACTAATAGATGACACTTCATTTTAACTTTTTTGCTTTAAAATCAAGAACAATATTTCTGACGATATGTGCTTGCAGGTTTAACAATCTATCTTGTCTTGTTGTTAAGATTTTATTCTTATCAGTATTGAGGCTTCCTACTTATATTAGGACTAGTATTTCTATTCGTATTAGTCTTAGTATTCCTAAGTCTAATCCTATCTAGAAAAGACTTACTCGATACTCCATAAATACTTCTTTAATCTCCTAGAGATCATTGTTCAGTTACTCAATAAAATACTTTAAGAGCTTTCAATTTTCTATTTGCATGGTGCAATCAAATCCTTAAGTTTAATATTTAACATTTATTTAATGTGAATTTAAATAACCTTAAAAGTGATACCTAATCCAAGTACGCAAATTATCCCTAATTAATCCTACATCAGTTCTTCCAATATTTTTCTCACAGGCATTTGGTATAGAAAGGTAAACCATTGAGTTATAACTAGAATGTTTAAAAAGATTACCTGTCCAAAAAGGGCATGAGGATATAGTCGTGAACCACAAAATCCAAGGCCCATGGTATTAGTATCAAAATTGCCAAGAACTTGGCCTGTAAGATAGAAAACAAATTGAATCCTTAATTATCCAAAATGCTAAGAGAAACAAATCCTAGAATGTCTATTAGTATAAAATGATTCAAATTATAAGTATGGCATGTGAAAAGAATGTCTAATGTGATAAAATCCCTAAGAAGTTCAATCACCGTATCTTCAATCTAAAAGCCCCCATTGGCCAACAAATTATTGTTCAAGTAGTAATAAGAATAGATTTATCATAACAGCAAAAAGCTTTAGTAGTTGCTAAAGCACTTGTATCTTCAATAAGAATCATAAATTCAAATTCTTACCTTTACGCCAATTCTCTCTTAAAAAATAATTAAAAAAAAAACTTCTTTAGGTTAAAAAAAATTAGATTTATCAGCATCAACTTGTTGACTAAGAAGATGATAATTGAGAAAGTAAAACCTATAATCAATAAAAGGAGAAGACAGCTGGAATTGTAAAAAATAAATCAAAATGGACCCACAAGATTATAGATAATAACTCACGATATTTAGAACTTCAAAAGACTGCAACATTAAATTTAAGAATTCACTTAGAGAGAATTTTCATTTAAATCCATATAGAATGACGAGATATGTGCGATTATTTTAGAAACATGTAAATTTTAAGTTAACACAAAATAACCTACATAATTGATAACTCACGATTTTAAAACTTGAAAAGACCATTGTTTTAAATTCAAGAGTCTGCTTAAAGCAAAGTTTATTTTAAATCCACCTAATTTTGTAAGATTCATGTAATGATATTAAAGAAAGCATCTAACTGTAAATCTAGTAAAAATGACTCACAAGATCATGGATAATATATATTTTTTTTAATAAAGAGTATAAATTATTCATATAAAATCAAAAGCACCAAAAAGGTGCAATTTATATACAATATTTACAAATCAGTCAAAATATATGTAAGATTCCAAAAATCTTCACTAAAATAAAATGGATGATCCGTTAACAAAAAACTTAGGGTATGGAACCTTTTTTTTTTTTTTTAAATAATTAAGGTATGGAACCCATTATCCTTGAGTTCATCAAAGTTAGAACTCTCGGAAGTCCTTCTATTTCTCTCTTTCCCAATTACCCAAAAAATGGCCAAAGGGATGAGCCTTACTCTTTTATCCCTGTGAATTCCACTCCAAGCACATAACTCCACCAATTCAGCAATGACTCAATTCAAATCCAAATGCCCATAAGCCAACCTCCACAATCTCTGAGCAAACAAACACTATAAGAGAATATGATTACTAGACTTGCTTCTCTCTTACACAAGTAGCACTCGTTCACTAGAATTCCTCCCTCATAATGAGATTGTCCAACGTTAACATACACCCCGGAACAGCTTCCCATGTGAAGGCGGCAATCTTTGGAGTAGCCTTCACATACCAAATTAATATAGGTTACAATGCTTTGAAGACTATAACATTATCGAGATTTGTTTGAGACAATTTTTGTCTTTGTTGAATCCGCATAAGTTAGAAAGATACATGTATTGATATAAAGAAAACTACAACTTATATTATGAAAAATGGCTTACAAAATTATAAACAGTAGCTCACAATTTCTAGACTTTAAAGTACCATAAAATTTAGTCAATGGATTTTCCTTTTGAGTCCATGCAAGTTGCAGATAACTATGCTATGATAATAAAAATGTATTTATCTAACTCTAAAATTTATAAATAGCCAAAAATACTGTGAAAAATAGTTTGAAAAAAAAAATGTAAGACTTCCTTCAACAGAGGATAATATTTGTTAAATTATGCTCTTCAGTACTGCTTCACTTTTGTTCAAGTGCTAGGATTTTAGGATAAAGAAGTCATTTGTCAAATTATAGTATAAATGGAAAGGCTTGGTTATACAGGAAGAAAATTATTGAACCATAAAAGCAACATGAGAAGAATCAAAGTACTGGAGAAATGAAAAACAATGCATGCGAATGTGAATTTCCAAGAGACATTAGCAATGCATAAGAACCTATTAAACAATTCAGGCTTCAGCAGTAACAAAAGATGGTCACATCCGGACTTATAAAATTAAAATAGATTGAGAAAAAAGAATTACTCACCGAATTCAAAGAGGCATACTGGAAAACACGATCTTCATACAAAATATCCTCTTCTTGCCTTCCGAGAACCAAATCCCTCAGAGACTCTACTAACCCTCTTTCAGGGAAGAAATCGCTGAGATTCGACTGCAGACCCTCCCTTGAATCTATCCCCTTATCCCAATCCTGGCTCCAGGAAGAAAAAGAACGATCCGCATGTTCATCCGCATCCACAATCCAGTCCTCCCATCTCCTACTCTCCTCATTCCTCATATCTTCCTGTGCTTCCCTTAACTCGATAATAGCCTCTGCTCTCCTCCTCCATGCCTCAAACTTCTCCTCCTCCAACTCTTCCTCTTCGCTTGAGGTCTCGGAATCGTTCTCTAGCAAGTCATCTTCCTTTAAGCCAAGCCAGTTCCCATCATCATCGAAGAAGAACTTCTGCCACCAACTTCTCTTTTTCTTTGCATTCGGTATAACCCCACCAAGCCGTTTCCTTCTGTAACGAGATTGGGCCAAGCAACAGGATGCATAGGGTGAAGAGAACATGTTCCTTACCGGATTTTCTTTAATGAATATTAAATTGTGGCATAAGAGGATTGAATTGCTCATCAAGAACATGTGTAGAACCCCACATTTTTCAATTTCTTCAACGAGAAAAGCAAATAATTCCACATGCCATTACAATAACAGCCAAAGTGATCATTCTTGTTCTGGTTAAATAACGAGCAGAAACCAATTCAGAATTCAAGAAAACACTAGAAAATCACGCAGTCGTCGAAGCACACCGAGATGTCAGACGTACCGGCAAAAGGGGAGAATAAAACGAACAGTCCAGTACTACTCCGCCTAGCCGAGAAGATAATGACGGTTTATGAGAAGTAAGAACACTGGAAGAGCGCCTTTGAGAAGAGCAGTAGAAGAGCCAATACTGTGAATGGAAAGCTTAATTCAAAATGGTCATGGAGTTGTGGCGTTGGAGAGAAGCGGATAACGGTTGCTGATTGCAGTATTTGCATAGTACACTATTACATCTCTGCCCTTGCCCTCCTCATTTTTCTTCATTTTTTTTTGTTTACATTTTGACATCAATATTACATAATTGCCCTTAGCATTGTGATTTTTTATTTTTATTTGTATTTGTATTTTATGACTGAGACTATGTTTGGCGCAGAAAGAATAGTATAGCTCACGTCAATAGTACATAATATCTTAATTATTATCAAAAAAAAATATTTTTTGATTTATTGTTGATTATAAATAAAGCAATTATATTTTTTATTTGACATTATTGTATAAAAAGATGAAGCATATATCAAAATATAATAATGTTATTTTTTAAGTTTATAACAATAACAGCATCAATAACTTCATGAAAAATAATAATGATAATAGCAATAAAGATAATTGCAATTACGGTAATAGTAGACGACAACATTATTATTGAGTAATAAAAGTTGAAGACAAACAAAATTTAAAAATAAAATTAGTTTTATATAGCACCAATTAGATGAGTTGTAGCCCCCGGACCGGGAAAAAAAAAAAAAAAAAAAAAAAGAAAAGCCACGTCCCAACCACGTCAGCAGTCCCGGCCAACCGAGACCTGCCACGTGGCAAAACCACATCGTTCCAAAAAGGGCCACGTTGGCGATCCGCGTGGGCGCGATCGGACGGCCCAGATCGAGCGTGCGATCGGACGGCCCAGATTTAAACGCACGGACGGCCCAGATTTAATCAAAAACGGACGGCCCAGATTAAAACAAAATGGACGGCTGAGATCAAAAGGCAAGGGGTTATAAATAGAACCCCCACACCAGACCACAAACCCCAGCCGCCTGCCACTCGCCGGAGAAGACGAACCAGAAGTCGGCCGCCGCCACCCGCTGCCGCACCGGAGGAACTTCCGACCGCTGATCGAGGTAAATTTCGTACCCCCGACTCATTTTTCCACGCTGATTCCTCATGTGGCCAAATCGGAGCCAAAATCCCGGCCAAACGGCCGGAATACACGGCCGAAGCCCAGCGGCGCCGCCGCGCCCTTCTCGGTTTTTGCCTCCGATGAGGCCCTTCCCGGCCTCCGTTTGATGCAATTTTTATATCACCGTGATCACCATTCTTTTCTCTACAGGTTGACCGGAGCCGAATCACCAAAACACGAACCTCGCCGGAGAGCCGCCGCACCCGAGAGCGCCGCCGCAGGTAAGCTCCGTTTTTCTGTGATTTTTTTGCCCCCCGAGGGCCCTAGGGTTGTTTTCTCGCAGGGACCGATGCGAGTGTGGCCGAATTCGGCCGGAAACGGCCGAAAACAGCCAACCCAAGGCGAATCACCGCCGTCAGCGGCAGCGCCGTCGCCGGAGCACGGCGGAGCCGCCGTGCCGGAGTTGCGATTTGGGCCGAAAGAGGCCCTGGGCCTAATTTGGGTTTTTTTTGGAACACGTGCAGGTACCAGTAGTGCGTTTCAGTTCTCCGAGGAAAATTCAGGGAAAATTAGGGACAGCCTGCAAGCGCACTGTGAAGCCGTGTTCGGACCCCGAAACGAGTAAGGACCCCTCACCCTATTTCCTATCACGGTTTTAGAGTCCAATAAATGATAAAACGGTTTTTCATGAATCAACGAATGTGTGAAATTGCTTAAGGTTGCTAATGGAGCCCGAGTCTAGTGTGTTTGTCGGTTAACTGTTATTTGGCCTGTTTTACAGTTTTAAATGCAGCATGAGGTTAGATGTTTTCATTTTATAGTTCCGTGTGCATATTTTACTGTTTTATTGATTATGGATTGAATGACCGGGATATTAATACTATATGTTGTCTGTTTGGCATAAATTATCGTTTTGCTTGTTTGTATGTGATTGATAATACTGACTGAGGGAAAAGGCGAATGAAAGATTAAGTGAATGAAAATTGTGTAATGTGTTCAGCCTGACTAGATATCCTGGGAGATGGTGGACGGACCGGGTCCGTAGGGAACCCTACCGGGATTGTGGTCTCCCATACCGGACGGGGTATGGAGATCTTATGTGTTTTGGCGCCCATACCGGACGGGGTATGGGGACGGCCCGTTTCACCCTCATACCGGACGAGTTAATGAGGTTTATAGTTTTGGCGCCCATACCGGACGGGGTATGAGGACGGCCCTGGAATATGATTTCAAGTGTTAAGGATTAACGGGTAGCGGGATCCCTATGGATCCCCATGGATACTAGTGGGCTGGTGAATTAGGAAAATATGTTGTGAAACTATTGAATCACGAAGAGAGTGATAGGTATGATGTTATACAGTTCATATATATGTTTTCATGATGATGATGATGTTATTGCTTTCGTATATTGTTTTATGAATTTTCCCGATGTGAGTAAATGGTAAAGGTTTTATTTTCGATAAAAGGATTTGTTGTAAATTATGCTCCATTGGTCTTTTTGTGTTTTCTACCCACCTTTACTTCCGTGACGGTGAGATATCGTGATGTCTTTACTGGGCTAGTATAGCTCATTCCTCATTTAATCATTTCAGATCAAGAGGACATCGTTCCCGAGCCGGTTTCGCAGGAGGACGACGAAGGGGACGCCTAAAGACTCCATAGTCACATTCGTAGTTTTTACTTTCGAGTTTTCTCCCTTAGGTAGTTTGATCCTTTATATTTTGTGAGCACGTTTTTTGTTTTAGTGTAAGGGATGTTAATCGAATTTTTGATTTCGCTTCCGCATTTGATATTTTTAATATACATTCCATTATGAATTTTTGGGGCTGTTACATGAGTAGTGTGTATTCACATGTCATTGATAAATAATACTATGTAATACAGTGTATTTAATAACTTGTCGTAATTGTATAAAAGTTTTATCTCAAATATTAATTAAAAAAGTATGAAAAACGTTATCTATTTATTACTAAATCATACTTACTTATTGTTTGTATATTTTTGTTAAAATAATATCTCAACTAAATTGAGACTAAATATATAATTATCTTAAAATAATCAGACAATATTTATTACTTAAAAAATAATATTAAAATAAAATAAAATAAATAGTAATAAAATATAAGATCTAATTCTCTATTTAATATATTTGAATAAAAGATAAACGCAATTCAAATTCTTTGAGTAATATTTGATAACAACCATTAAGATATTTTTAAAGGACCGTATTGAAAAAACTTTTTGTTTTCATTCCTCAAGCATCTCTATCTATCTCATTATTAATTAAAATA